GCCACTCTGGAACGCATCACAATTGGTGTGAACAAGCCCTTAGACACTGAATTCCTTTTTTTTTCCTACCCTGTATTTTTTATATATTGTACAAAGTGCAGGTCCGGGGGTTGGGGACCACTGTCCTATGTGATCAAAGTAGATAGATATTAATTAAGTGTCTCGTTTAGGAACCTATAAGTGATGTATCTCTGTAATAAAAAGATATATGTAATCTCCATGATTTGTTTGTGAAAAAATTCCAATAAAAAAGTTTTATAAAAACAACAAAAAAGTCTCTGTGGTGTAGGTGTACTTTTTTGTTGTTTTTATAAAACTTTTTTATTGGAATTTTTTCACAAACAAATCATGGAGATTACATATATCTTTTTATTACAGAGATACATCACTTATAGGTTCCTAAACGAGACACTTAATAAAAAAAAACTACTATTCGCCCCCTTACATCCTGTAGGATGCGGTATACTGAGCTTAGGGTGATGGGAGGACGCTAGTTTGTGTCCTCCAGTTACTCTAAGGAGAACTATGGGGAAAAGCCCTAACCCCATAGTTCTCCTTTAACATAAAGCTTTGTGAACAATTTTGCTAGGATGGATTTTAAAAAAAAAAAAAAAACCACACACAAACAACAACACACCAAACACATCTGAAAAATATTTACCTTTTTGGAAAATAAAGCTGTCATGGGCTCCCTTCAGTGTTGCCCTTAAATCTCAAGGCATACTGTAGACATTTGGTTATGTGATCTCTTTCTGAAGGGGAGAATTACAGTTTATATAGCCATTCTTCTATAATAATTGTTATCCCTGAAAAGCGGTCTACAGCAATGCCCCTTTTACCTTTCATTTATCCAACCCAAGGCTGGTTTACAAAATGTATATATTCATGATAATATTTGAAGAGATATAATATATATACACATATACATATACATACACACACACACTATTGCCAAAAGTATTGGAAAAATTATAGGAAAATTCCCACTCACATCTTGCTCTCATGATTGAATCCAAATAGAAAAAAAAAAAATTTTAAATCTTGGGTGAAATGCATGGACAATTGTGAATCTGACACAGGCATTATCAATGTCAAAGCCATTTGCTGCCCTCAACCCAGATTCTTTAGCAAAAGTCCCCTATAACCATCATCTGCAATCCCCCTTCCAAAATGAAGAACCACCTTGCCTAAACATAAACAATAATAATTCCTGGCCTCGTCATGCAGGTATACCTATAGTTTATCTCCACCCCTGATCCCATTCAGGACAAATCTTTCCTAGCTCATAAAGGGCTAGAGCAACCACCCTCCCTCACCTGTGTATTCCTTTCCTTGGCTCGCTCAGGACTTTCCTCCAAAGATTAAATTAAAGATTCCCCCACCAAGTGCCTAATAGGATTGGATCACCTGGTGGAAGCCTGTGCTGTTTAGAGTAATCCCCTTGATGCAGAGTGCCCTTATTGTGCTAGGGCCAATGGATCTGTGCTGGCCTCTATAATTTGTGAGGACTCCAGATAAATGTAGTTTCTGGTTACTTGAGAGTTATTATTAAAAATAGGTTTAACCAATGCTATACCTCATACCATAACAAACTCTGTATTGACTTCATATAAATATTGAAATAAATCAAAAGCAAATTAAAAAGACAAAACAGACACACTTAGTATTAGTGCTCTAATACAGGTGCTGCAATGCTATGTGCACTGGGGCTGCCTGACATGGGACTGGAGATCTGCAGTATATTGTAATCTATGAGCAATACAGTGCAGTCATGGGAGTGATCTTTAGGTGGCGCTTGTTCACAGGCAATTGTTCCCAGGACAATACAGCACTTTGACCCATTTCTCTACCCTCCCATGCTTCCAGAGCCCTCTCTCTCTCTCTCTCCTAGAAGGTCACAGATCAGCAGAAGTGCAGAGTGGATTTATTTTTGCTGGTTAGATGAGAGTTCCGGTTAATTAAAAATACTGGATAACAGAGAGTTTACTGTATTTGCCTATAGATTAGTGTGGAGCATTGAATATTCCCTGATTACCGGAGTACCTTCCAGTGAGTACAATTGGGCTTTGTATGAGAAGTAAAATTAAGACTACTTATGTATTTGTATTTTTAAAACGGTTTGTGAAATATTCATCCCTGCTAGACAAGTTTGCCTCCAGTCCCTTGGAGAAGCATCTTGCAAAACGCGTCGTTGGTACTGCATGCCACTGAAAGCAATTGTTTGCACAATATGCAATCATCACGGAGACATTCTTTGTAACTGTATAGAAATTGTGAACAGTGTATAGAATCTGTAACTGATGTGGCTATGGGAGACTTGATGTTGAGGGGACGCAATAGGATATAGAATATATGTTTCAAAATTACTTAATTTTTTGCAGAATTAGATTATGTTTTTATTAAAAACATTGTAAACAGCACCTCCTGAAACCCCATTGTTCATTTGGGTCATCTGGGTCAGACTTGAAGAGAAAAATCATTTGGTACTTCGCCAAAGACTGCAAGGCTACAGTTAAGTGCTTGGAATGTGACAGTAATATGCATGTATTAGCCTTACACCCATGCTTCTCTAAACAGGACTCTGCATCCACTGAAGAGTTTTCACCTACATTAAACCATGGCGGAGAGAACTCTAAACAGTCACCTGCAATGGTTACTTCAATGTGTAGAGATATTCCACTAGGGACTTGGGGAATATACTTGGGCAAAATATGTCTTGCTAAAAGGTGTTTACCCAAGGATAACCTAAGAAAGCAGTTAAGATGTATGCTGTCTTAGAGAACCAAAACAATCATTCGCCTGTAACCTCAGAATCCTTGGTCTTGTTTGGAATAAAGAGAAGTGTTTTGTCCTATACACTGCACACATGTGCTGGTTCAGTGGAGACTTCAAGAATAACAAATTCTGATTTGATTATTGCTCCTACAGAAGGAACTGAATAGGTTGTTCTTCCTAGACTCATTGAGTGCAATCAATTTCCCAATGAGAAATTCCTACACCAGAAGACACTCTTTCTGAACCTCACCTAAGCCATTTAATTGACTGCATCCCACCATTTGATAACAATGCCAAAATCTGGGTAGAGACATCCTATGAGTCAACAAGGTACGTCAGTAGCACAATGGTTGGAACGATGTACCTTATGCCCAAAAGACTGACATAGATTGGGTAATTAGTCAACAGCAAATTCAACCACATTCTAAATCGTCTGGGTGAGACAACTCTCACTGCCACCAACAATGGCAAGCCTACATCCCAGATCAGGAATTCACTTCTACTGAGATCCAAGCTAATACCAATGACCACTCAGTCAAGGCACCGGGAATCCAGTTAGTAGTGAACGACCTAAGGAACTTGACAAAATTATGGCAAGAAAATGTATTGGAAGTAGAGTTTCACAAGGATGGATAGAGTTTCCTTGAGCCAACTAGGCGGACTAATCCACTGTCACCATTGAGGAACAATGCAAGTCTTGACTCCTTTGACCCCCCACGCGGCACCGTTTTTTTTGCCCCCTCACCTTCAATCCCGGGATCCGCTGCCCCATCTGCAGCCCAGGATCGGGTTGGGAGGGCGTCAGGAGGAAGAGAAAGGGAGATCAGCTCCTTGCTGACCTCCCTCAGGGCTGTGAATACAGAAGTGATGTGTATTACATCACTTCCGCATTCACCTGTCCGTCATCTGGCTGCTATAGCCAGAGAAAAGAAGCTGATGAAGCAGATCTCTGCTTCATCAGCTTCTTTTGGGGTCCACAGGTGACACTAATGTCTCCATAAAGCGGACCCGTCAGTGTGCCTTTGCTACTATATAGCGATCTACCAGTCGATCGCGTAGCGATCACTGGTAGATCGCCATGTCCTCTCCTCCCGCCGCTTCTCTGGATCCCCGCTGCTCTCCCCAGCGGGGATCCGAGAAGAAGTGAAGGAACCGGCGGCGGGGGAGGGCGGAGGACGGAGCCGCTGTCACAGAACTAATGAAGAGCGGTGAGGGGAGAGAGAGAGAGACGCTCGGCCAGGATCTGACAGCCGGCGCCTCTCTCTCCCCTCACTGCTCGTCCGTTCTGTCACAGCGGCAACACCCCCCCCCCCCGCGGCTGAAGTGCTCTTTCACTTCTCGTCGGATCCCCCGCTGCCTCTGCCCGGGAGAGCAGGGGGAATGCAGAGGAGAAGCTGAGCCCATTTGTGCGTGGCCGAGCGGCAGAGGATCGGTACATGTCAGTAGTATGTACCAATCCTCTGTGCAGGACAAACACTGGAGCGATCGTCTGATCACTCCAGTGTTTGTAAATAACTGGGGACACATAGTACTATGTGTCCCCAGTTATAAATGAATGAACAGGAGGTGATTTACATCACGTCCCGTTCATTCATGAGTTTCTCAATGGGGAGAAGCACTCTGTACAGAGGCTCCTCCCCATTCAGAAACTGCTTGATAGTAAATATTTTCTGAATGAATGGGAAGCCTCTGTGCTTTCCATTCATT